ATATTGTATGTTATATACCGGAAGTTGATGTTTTATTACTTTAATTTGTCGTCGGTTTGTCGAGTTACGCGCCGGCTTCTTGACGAATCATCATCCCTTCCCGTAATAAAGAATGCATTAACGTTTAAGCGGAAGCCGCGTTCGTTGCCGTCCGTCGCAAGACACGCGCGCAACTTAAGTTATCATAAATCTGTTTGTCTTTTTTTCAAGAAAATTATGTTTCTGCAGAAAAAGATTTGTCAGAAAAAAATAATCATTTTTAAAGATTATAATAAAAAGCTTGAGCTTCAATAAAAAAGAATAAGATTGTCATCAAATAATTTTAATTGATATTCATAGATATTACATTATTTTAATCAATAATTTTAAAATAATTTTAAGATTTATTTTAAAATAAAAAATTTAATTTTACGGTACTATTTGTTTAAAATAAAAAAATTGAATATGCGAATACAATATATGAAATGTGTACAAAAACATGATTATTTCAATCAATTATGATTGTGTTAGATCATCATGCTAATGATAGAAAATCTAACAGAACAAGTTATGAAATCTTTTGTCACTTCTACGAAATGAATACAAAGTGATAAATATCGCACGTCACATGTTTAGAATAATATTTATAAACGGAAATATTTTAACTAGCAAATAGATTTCATCAATAATAATTGGAAAACAACTTTAACTGGTTAAACTGGTGTAACTGGTTAAAGATTCTTTTGTGTTTTGTCACGACGAAATGTAAATTTGTATTTAAATCTAAGTGTAGATCAAAATACAAAGAATCGCTTCTGCTAACCGCTTCTATTAATTATTAAGATTTAAATTATATTTTCTTTCCCTTAATTATTTTAAATTTTAATTGTCAATGTTCAATAATATTTAATAACATATACAGTAACATTTCAATAATATTTAATAACATATACAGTAACATTTACAATAATTTAAAATAATCCAGTAAAAAAGTTTTTTTGTTAGAATTATTTTTACTTTATCTTAAATAATTAAAAATGATAAAAATAAATGTTTTTACTCATCTTTCTAACCCCTTGTCACGTCAACCACCATGACTTACCTAGCAATCTGCGATTGGACGCCATTTTTCCGTTGGATGATAATATGATGGATATGATTCCAAACGGTTCTCACCGGTGCATTGGCTTTTCAATTTCAGAGCACTTGTTAAAAATTCGGTTCCAACAGTGTTTTCTTAATTATTCCTATTCAAGACAGATTTCCTTCAATTGAGTACGGTCTTTCACTTCACGCGTGAACTGTCATGTCACTTAAATACTTGACACGCGAGAGAGAGAGAGAGAGAGAGAGAGAGAGAGAGAGAGTTGAATTTTCAACCCTTCTTAGAGAACGAACTTTCGGAAGAGCTTGTTTCTTCGCGTACGCTCTCGCCAGCAACTGGCTCGTACACTCGCCGTGCTTTAACTGTACTCTACTTTAAACGCTGCCAAAAATCTCGGCTGTAAATCGCGGCGCTGCCTGCTCGGAAGACGAAGGAAGGCGAAGACGACGAAGAGGAGGCCCGTCAATAGCGTCAGCGTTGCGACACCGACGTCTTCCGCGGGCTGCGTCGTTCTCCCGCTTCGCGTTTCGCTTCGTACGGTAATGTTCGTCGTAATGTTCCTCTGTGTCGTAACGAAGGCTGCGTGCGATGAAGCGACGAGGTGGTAGTGGCAGAGGGAAAGAGAGAGAGAGAGAAAGAGGGGCACGGTCACGCACGTCACGAGCATACGCGTCGTGTACAATGACGTGCTTTGTTCGTCGTTGCCAAAGAGAAGACGAATGTGCGTTATCAAATGGACAGACGGTTTTTCCTACCCCTGCATTCGTCGACTCGTTCAGAGGGAGGAACGCATAGAAAATGAGAGATCAGGTATGCGAACCAGAGGGAAACGGTTTTAGAAAGATGCTTTAGAAAGGAGCGCCTTTAGAAAGAACCGGGATTGAAATATTAATCTTTTGGTTTCCCAGCAGGATGCATCCTCCCCCCCCCCTGCAGTTTCTCTTATTTTATATAGTATATTTTCATTGCATTTAATTTATTTATTCTTCTATCTAATTTTTAGATAAAATTGTTCCTGTTACAGGTTCTGCAGAATTTCGTTAGTCCAATCAAAAAATAGCCAAGTAATCATAATTTCATATAATTTTAAGATATCAATTATACAAATATTATATAGAAATATCAATCGTTATATACATATAATTTTTCTTAGATAATACATATATTGATATTCGCATATCGCAGTTAAGGGGTTAGTATAATTCCACGCTCAAAATATCTCGTAATCGTTCCTTGCTCCGTATTTCGCGAAGAGATAAATCTCGGTAAAGTGTGGCGGAAGATAACTGTTTGTCCGAGCGATATGTTGTAACGCGCCAGGCGTTATCGTGACGTTGCAGTGATTAATCAACGTCAGCATTAATTCGCTGATCTGTCGTTGCAGCGTTCTAATGACTGTAATTGGTAGTTACCAGGAGTATTCATCACGTTGTTCTCTCTGACACTATTAATTAGACCTAGAATCACCAACTGTCTCTTCGGTCACTTTGCGCGATTAAACGCCAAATGAAATATTCTGTTGAAGTAATCAAACTGAAGTAACGGGAATCAAAAAGAATAAAATTTTCCTTGAATTCAACGAAAGTAACCGAAGAAAGTGAAGAAAATTAAATTGAAGAAGGGAATTTTTTTTTTCTCAACTTCATAGTGATAGTGTCAAAACCAGTCGATAATAGGAGTATTTCAAGCTTTATAATGCAACTGATATCATAAGACTTATTCATATGTACATATATTGCGTCGTATTACATAATTCAAGACACACGGTAATTAATTCCTTACGTAGTTACAAAGTTGTTTTTGTCCTTGGTTGACGTTATTATGTTAAATGCTTTCCATTTTTTGCGAACAATACTTTTAAAATCCTACTAGAATATCTTTAGTAATATTTTAAAAGTATTTAAAGTAGTACTACTAAAAATATCTTTCTTCCAAAAATATTTTCTTTTCTTTTTTCAAAGAAAGGTAAATGAGTTGCTTGCCAAGTTTCCATTTTCACAGTTTTCTGAATTTTCTTCACTAACTTGAGATATGTATTCCGCTTCTCAGTATAGTTTTTATAAAATAGATAAGATATTTCGTAATATTATTTACCTACGAGGAGGTTTGCGAGGACATTGTTTTTGTGACGATACTAAATAGATATATAAAAATATCTTTTCAATTTTTTTAGTACCTGTAAAAAAAGTACGTACTACTTTAGAAAGTATCGAACACGCTTTATGCTGTATAGTTCCATGAACCGTTTATTGTATGTGTTCGTTTATTATCTCAACTAAAAGTAAACTAAAGTAAAATATTCCTCCGTCACATTCATTTGCTCGTTGCGTTGAGTTCAGAGAGATTTCACAATACATAAATCCGCGCATTTAATGACTAAACGTGATACATCACGCGTATCTCTTTTGACAAATGGAAGAAGCGTTTGTAATGGTTAATCGAGGATGTTAAGCTTGCTATTGGTCTTCCTTAATTGCGCTCTCCAAGGTATAATTTGACCATCGTCAGAGTCGTCCTTGGCAGGATCCTCTCGTTTCTCGTCGACCTCGGGGTTTTCTTCCTTCTTGATGACGCGTGACGCTGCCGCTGGTGAGGCGTCTCTTTTCGGGTTTGCCGTCGTTGTTTCGAATTTCGTTATGCTTGTCGACGCGGACACTTGTGTCTGATTCAGTCTGTAATCAAACCGATAACTTGACCCTTGAGTAACGTGAGAAAATTTTACATTATTAGTTAACGAATTACAAGATAAAATAAGGTCACGTCAAAATATCGACGTAAAAGGAAATCGAGAAACGAAAAGGAATACACAAGAAAATCACATAAAAAAATATATAAAATATAAAAATAACATCCTCTTTCTCTTGTTTCCTCTCAACAGTCTTTTCCTTTTTTATTTAAAAATTTGAAAAAATTTAAGATACTTTGAAGCGACTCTCTACCTAGATATTATTAGAATATCAGTTATCAGATTTGCTAGACTAATCTTTTAATGTACATACAAAATATTATACTTAATATGCGTATCGCGTAATTTTGTAACGCGAAACGAAGGAACTTGAAGCCAATTGCGACAAGAGGCAATTGTAATATTCACGATAATTGGAGCACTTAGTCCCATCTCCCTTCTGTCTGTATATATTAAAAACACACGGTTCGGAGTCAAATCTCGAAAATAGTGCGAGATAAATCTCTTTTGAGAAGTGTCACAAATTTAAATACGATTTTGTGACGAGCATAAAAATGTTTCTTGCAACAAATAATTCTAATTAATTATGGCTTTCCCCAGGGCTAAGAAATAGCATTCAATCGCATGTTTTGATTGATTGATGTAGATTCATTAATTTACGTACCTCTTTTCCTCGTTATCTTTCTTGGCGAGAAGCTGTCGTTTCCACGGTGGAATCGCCTTTTGCCGCCTCTCCTCGTTCTCTCGCGCTATTTGCTCTTCGAGTTCCTTTTTCGCTCGCTCAGCGGCTTTACGGGCCAGCATCTGCCGTTTCCAGATTGGTATTACATTTCCCGAGCTATCCTTCTCGGGTATCTACAAAAGCAAAATCGACGATTCGGAATTTCAAATCTGAATTACATAAAAGCATCAAAAGGAAAAGGAAATTTAAATCGATCGTTACATCCGATTAGACAAATAGACATTTTTGCGACTTTTTTTTACGATCGAGTGTATACCTTTCCAGAAGGACGCAAAGTAAAAAGTTCTTACTTGATCAACAAAATTCGTAACGCTAAACGCTCTGCTAATTTCCGACATGAGGTTCTGTTCCTGAGTCTTCTCGACTTGCGCCCGCTCCACCTTTAACTTTTTGATACCGGGAATATCCTTGGTGCGCTTCAGTTCGGCGATTAGATCCGTCTTTTGCACGAAGAACGGCTCCGAGACTGAAATCGATAAAATTATTTATTTAAATCTGGCCACGATTCTATTTTAAACGAAGTGATATGATCTCATAAATTTGATGATTTTATTTTAACGTGGCGCAAATGGGGTCATCTCAAAATATCGAAATTATATCATTGCCAATGTAACATGGAATATCGTTACAGGTTAAATTCCTCGAGTCTGAAGCCTGAAAGCTGAAGTCTGAAGCCTTGCACTTATGTTCGTAAAAGCGTTAAATTGTATGTGCATGTGTGTCGCGGACTAGCTTACCGTTAGTCATGGACACGCTGCGAGGAGGCGGAGCGGAGAATGTCTTGGTAGCGTTCATCTTCGTGCTGGTCCGTCGCAGTTGGATACTCGTGAGGTCCTGGATGCTGATTGTGGCTAAGGGTTG